CACACACACACACACACACACACACACACACACACACACTCAATTCAAACAAAAATTGGGCTAGAGAACTGAATAGAGATTTCTCCAAGGAAGATATGCAAATGACCAACAAGCTCATGAAAAGACATTCAAGTCCTTCATCATTAGGGAAATGCAAACTAAAGTCACAATGAGACACTCCTGCATACCACTAGGGCTGTTGTTAGGTACCCTTGAGTCAGTTCCAGCTCATAGCAACCTTCTACACAACCGAAGGAAGCCGCTTTTCACAGTAGAAACGGAGGAGGAGGGGCTACACGGATAGCAAATAACAAGTGTTGGAAAGGTTGGAACTTTTAAACTTTGTTGGTGGAACTATAAAAAGGTGCAGCTGCTGATGGAACATGCTTTGGCCGTTGCACAGAAAGCGTTTGCAAGGACGAGGGAGAGAGTTGTGCGGGGTCACCCTTAGTAGCTGTGGGGTCCCCTTGCAGAGCAATAGCAATGTGTTGTCACTAGAGAAAGGCTGTCATTGCACAATGTCGTTCATGTATTAAATGTCCCTGAAGTGTTCACTTTAAAAAGGTCAATTATATGTCACATGCATTTCATCCCATTAAAAAAAAAACAAACTCAAGACTGTATTCTTTCTCTCTATGCCTGCCATATTTGATGGTGTTAATTTCAAAATGCAGTTAGCAAAACCATAACCTTGGATAGTACTACCTGGGTGGTTGACACACCATGCTAACGGGTTCTCCAATCATTTTCATCCACCCTGTGTAATTTAGATTTCTGTCCAAGGCTTCAGGAACATTGCCAACAGCTGCAGTGGGATTACACATCTGACCATCAATGACATGCCAACGCTGACGGACAACTGTGTAAAAGTAGGTCATTGGGAAGTCCAGGAGGTGGGCATGTTTTCTAGTGGCATGGATTATTGGAAAACATGAATGAGATTTTCATCAGAAAAGCAGAAAAATTTAGACGCATGTACACTTACATTTAAACATTTGAATCTTTGGAAACTTTGAACCCTTAAAAACACTGTTTCACAGTCAGGGTATTTTTGTTTCAATGAGGTTGTACCATTAAGTTTAGGTCTCTCTACCTAGATAAAAAAAATGTAAGATCCCACCCTCAGCAGTCCCTTGCTTTGCTTTTCCATACCGCCCCCTGCCACCACCAATATTCTTCTAACAGAGTTCAGTGCTCCACTATGAACCAACAGGTTGGTTGTTTGATCCAAACGAGAGGTGCCTCCGAAGAAAGGCCTGGCAACCTACTTATAATGAGTGTCAGCCTCTAAAACCTATGCAGTAAAGAGCACGGAGAGGGTGGCCATACCTGACCTCCTCTGCTTCCCAATTGCCACGAAGCGGGGATCAGGCTCGTCTCCACAGGCCATCCTTCTTTACCTGTGTGGACCCCAACCGTTCCTCCCAGAGCACTCAGAGGTCCACAGTTACACCTCTTCTCAGCCTCCATCCCTCAGCCTCTCAGGCACATGGTTCCTTGGCCTCTGCCTCAGTGGACCAGGAAGCCCCCCTATTGCTCTCTCTCATGGTTTCTGGTGCTTCTGGTCTCGGCCTCTGCCACTTGAGACAGATGTCAAACGCACTCTTTGGGAGTGGCATTTCTCTCTGCGTCTGAGATGGCTCTGATACACAGAGGAATGACTTTGATGGAGACCATTCCTCCAGGGAAACAAAGGGGATGACTTGGTTCATGCCCTCTACTAAGGTCAGAACTGAACCCCTCCCTAATCCCGTCCACCCTTAGAGGTGATGATGACAAAGAGACTTCATCTCATATGCTTCGGACACACGCTCAGGGAAGACCAGCCGCTGGCGGATCTCGTTCTGGTGACGCAGAGAGGCAGTGAAAAGAGGCAGATCCTCAACAAGATGGGTTGACCCAGTGGCTTCAACAGTGGCTCAAACAAGAGAAATCAGGAGGGTGGCTTCTCATGTTAGCAATTCTGTCCATTAGTATAGCAGAGAGCTATAAATGGGATTATAGCCACAGGCATAGGGCCCAGAATTACAATATATCACATAAGGAATTGTGGCTCGAAGAGCCATGTTAAATGACAACATCTCAAACCGATGGAGCGGTTTTACTCTGCACACATGCTGATGCCAGCAGTGGGATCAACTCAAGGTTAACAAGATGACTTGTTGTTGCTGTTTATTCTTATGTACCATAATTTAATTCTAATCCGTCGCATTGCTCCCATGCAAATATATAATCTACCTTGAACAGAATTTCAGTTTCTTTGAAACTGGGACATTTTACTAGTTAAGGTGTCCGTTCCCAAGACTATTTGGAGTGGGAAACGATCTCCTTCCTTTGCTAAGCACGTTCTAGACGCGCTGCCGTGGAATGTGACCCTGGCTCTTCCCCTCCCGCAGGCCTTGGTTGAGAAGTGTTCCCACATCACCACAGTGATCTTCATTGGTGCCCCACACATCTCCGACTGTGCCTTCAAAGCCCTCTCCACCTGCAGCCTCAGGAAGATCCGATTCGAAGGTCTGTGCTGGGAAAACTGTGGGTCGGCTTTTCTTTTCTTTTCTTTATATGGGTCTTGTCTTTTGCTCTGTGGTTTTGGATGTCTCCGACGGTTGATTGTTTGGTTGCATTTTATAGAGAGGTCTGGGAGTGATAAGCATCATTTTTCAGTTTTGCCCCGGGGCATTAAAAATATACTTGTCTTTTCTTTGTGTTTCATAACAGGAAATAAAAGGATCACCGATAGCTGCTTCAAGTTTATAGACAAACATTATCCAAATATCAGGCACATTTACATGGTGGACTGCAAAGGGTTAACAGATGGCAGCCTCAAGTCTCTTTCAGTTTTAAGGCAACTGACTGTGTTGAATTTGGGAAATTGTATCAGGTAATGATGAAGTTATCGAATCATTTAATTAAGGTACATTGATTGAGCGGCCAGTGTGTGCCAGGCTCTGTCGCTGCAGGAGGGTACTGACTGGTTCGTGGGGTCAACATGAAAGGCAGGAGTCCAGGTGTCAATCTGGAGGTCAGCACAGAGTTCTGTAGACCACAGGATGGAGACCCAGTTCATACTGATTAGGTAAGGCTGGTCAGTATGGACTTTCTGACTTGCCTACTTAGGAAATCTTACTACAAGTTTTTCTCATGGATACTGGTTAGATTTCTCTTCTGTGGGTGATATCATCCCCTGGGAGTGGTAGTGGTGGTGGTGGTGGTGGATGGTGGGTGTGGTGGTGGGTGGAGGTGGTGGTGGTGTTGGTGGTGGCGG